AGCCCACAAACTCAACTCAAAGATGGCTGAACTCAGACGCAACGGCATCATCCCCTGGCTGCGTCCTGACTCTAAAACACAGGTGAGGTTATATGTTGTATTACATCACATGCAAGGTTTTCCTTTCTTTCCTCGAAAACAGAAACAACACTTCAGCAGACTCTCTGAGTTACCTTATTGTTTCTGCTCTGGACGTCTTCCAAGAGATTTATTTTTTGGTGCCAGGAGACAAAATCGGATCAGCGGTGGCTACTGCAAGTATTTAACACAAAGCTCTCTGTGTAGGAATAATAGACTTTTGACTGATTTAGACGCAGTTAGCCTCTGACTGCACTTCTTGGACATCTAATGCCTACGTGTTTCAGGTCAAATGTAGGTTTCTAGAACATCAGGCAAGAGGGAGTCGGTCAGATTTCAAACCAGGATTTCAAACACAGAGCTTAAGATGTATCTCAGACTGGACTGAGCACACATTCTTACTACATCAAAGAAGTATTAAGGAATTAACAAAGCAATAAAGTCACTGTGTAATTAAAGTCTTTTTGCAGATAAGCTTTTTTCAAGCAAAAAGTTTATTCAGAGTTTTAAGGGAGGGTCCACACAAGAAAACAGATCTGTGATCACCGTGTGGGGAAATTAAGGTCACTACAGCAGAAATTACACAATGATATATATACACTGTATTACCGAGTATGGACTTTTTGACTTCTGTGTCCCACAGGTGACAGTACATTATGATCAGAAGGATGGAGCCGTGATCCCCAAGAGAGTTCACACCATCGTCATCTCTGTCCAGCACGATGACTGCATCTCTCTGGAGGAACAGCAGAGGGTCCTCAAGGAGAAGGTACAGCCTCATTAACACATCTAACTGGGCTCTGACTGATGTACTGCTCAGGAAATTTAGGTTTTAATGCTGCATTGATTCTAAAAGGTCATCGACGCTGTGGTTCCTGCTAAATATTTGGATGACAAGACTGTCTACCACCTCCAGCCCAGCGGTCGCTTCGTTATTGGAGGACCCCAGGTGACCATCATACACAAGCTGTTGATTTTATTTGGAAAACAAACCAAAAAAAATTGAAAAGTCACCACTGATCTTTGCTTGTCTTCCTCCTAACAGGGTGATGCTGGTGTGACAGGCAGGAAGATCATTGTAGACACATACGGAGGGTGGGGCGCTCACGGTGGCGGAGCTTTCTCTGGCAAAGACTTCTCAAAGGTGGACCGCTCCGCTGCCTACGCCGCTCGCTGGGTGGCCAAATCTCTGGTCAAAGCCAAACTGTGCAGGAGAGTTTTGGTACAGGTGAGCCTACAGCGTCATTCATCCACCCATCCAAAGACCAGTGTTTGAAGCATGAAGGCGTTGATACAAACATTTCAGTCTACCTGACTCTGTGTGTGTGTGTGTGTGTGTGTGTGTGTGTGTTACAGGTGTCTTATGCTATCGGAGTGGCCCAGCCTCTGTCCATCTCCTTGTTTACCTACGGTTCCTCCCAGAAAACAGAAGCAGAGCTGCTCCACATTGTCAACAAGAACTTTGATCTGCGGCCAGGAGTCATTGTCAGGTAAACATGACCACATGACCTCTGTAGCATCCTTGTTCAAGACAATGTAAAGGCTGCCTCGTTTAATGGGTAACTTCAGTAGTTTTCAACCTGGACAATATTTTCCAGTGTTTTTGTGTCTAAGTGACTAATGAGAGATATTATTGCAGCCGGCAGCCACAACACAGGCTGCAATGTAATCACTTGAGGCAAATGGGCAAGATGTTTTACTGATTTTTGCACATCCAGGTGGAAAAATACCAAAGTTACTTTTTAAAACCACAGTGTGCAATTTTTTAAATAAGTCTTACGACATATTTTCTTCTTTATAAAAATAAAAAAGTCTTAGTAAAAGTATCTGCATTTTTTTTGCTATTACCACAAGGGGCAGCAAAGATGACATTTTTAAATTGTTCACATAGCTTTAAGATGTCTACATTTACCTCAGCTCTTTTGTTGTGAGATTTGATGTAATAACAGATAGATAGATTATACAAACATAAAAATTTCAAATCACAAATTTATTTATTTATTTTTACAAGGGGCACAGCATGAACCAATGCCACTGCATTTGTAGCTTAAGCTAGTTTGCAGCGTCCGTCCCAAGATGATGGGCCTTTAATATATACAAAACACACAAAATGATGCAGTGAAATTATCAAAAAAAAAAAAACAGTACCAAACTCTTCATGGCTCCATGACTGATCCCTCTTTGAAAACCTGAGCTAAAAATGATCCTAGTCACGATGCAGTTTGAGTTTTTTGGCAAGAGTCCTACATATTGTTTCCCGTAGACGTGTTACTGATTTAAACATCATCCCTGCTAACAAAGATGATCCTCTAAACAATAAGACTTTAATCACATTAAAGGGTTTAAATCTTCTGTAGAGGCTGGTAGAAAATGTATTCACACTGTACAAGAATGAGTACTTGCACATGATTTTGATTGTAGAAGAGAAACAACCAGAACTACATACAGTATAAACAATTACAAAAACTACACAGGTATTATCTTGTGATGTGTTTACTGTCCTTTCTCACCTCTGTTGCATTTCTTCTCTCTCCTCCATAGGGAACTGAACCTGAAGAGGCCGATCTACCAGCAGACAGCCTCTTACGGCCACTTTGGTCGACCAGAGTTCACTTGGGAGATGCCCAAAAAGCTTGTCCTCTAAAGCTCTTCTTGGCTACAACTGCCAGCCCTGTCAACATTTTTTTTTGATAGGAACAACTAAAGCCAAAGTTAGGGATAAGTCAGCTTTAAAGAGGTGAGAAGGTAATTAAATGTACACGTGGTTGTAGCCATTGGACATATAATGGGACACTCTCCCAATGAGAGGAGAGACATCGCAGAGGACATCTCAGTAACTACCACATCTCCCCCATGTCCTCTTCAAACATCCAATTGTTGGTGCTTTAGAAAAAATACTCACTAGTTAAAGGTCTTTCCTGGTAACATAGAACACCACAGCAAATAAAATCCTCCGAAGATAAAAATTTCCACCCCGTTTTACCTCAAAGCTGCAAATGTTCCTTTACGTGACCAGTGTGATGTACAGAAACAACCTTGGTGCTTCATTTACAACAGTTAGTATTTCATCATATGAATGTGAGAAGTGTAATTACTGCTCAACCAAAGCTTTAGAGGAAACTTTAATCTGTTTGTCATGACTGTAAAATTCCTTTTTCTGAGTCTTATTTTGTAGTGTGTGCAGCAGGAAGCTGTTTGCACTGTTACAATCACCGACGCACAACAACACAGGTCATTAAAATGTAGGGAGAGCCCTTATCTCTTGTTACAATCAATCAAATGTAAAATAGCCATGCAGTCTTATGTTTCCATACTGCTCTTTTCCTCTGTCATCCTCTGAGCCCTGCTTTGCTTCCATATCAAGTTGCTTTTATAGCCGCACAGCTCACCTAGTGGCTGGTTTGTCTGTATACGTCTTCTTTTTTTACCTGCAGGCCTGCTGCTGTGACTGAGTCTGTAAATGTGACTCATTTAAGCAAATAACTTGAAGTCTCTTATCTCTTCGCTCTCTGCAGCGGATCAACAAGCTGCACGCTGTCGAGACTAAAGCACTTAGTGCACCGCAGATGTCTTACATAGGCATAGGTTATAAGCCTACGCTGATCCAAGTCAACATCAGACTGAATTCCTTGGTGTAAATGCTCCTTCAATATCTTAATTCAAGTTTGCTCTGCAGCTCTGTATCGCAGACTGAGATCCTTCCCTGTGGATTTAGAGGAAAAAAGGGATGTACTCCTAGCAGGGTATTTAGAAAATTGAATTTTGAGTCAACTTTCGCCATCGCTTAATCACAAAGTATCTATCTAATTCTTTCCTTCTGATGGGACTGAGGAAGTGTAAACAGTGCTTACCTTAAAACTTCCTGTCTGTAGAGGTGTAGGAGTGGTGTAGGTGTAACACCCTTTGCTTTCACTCACAGCCGGCATTGTTTTTGTAAGAGAGGTTTTCCTCTGTTTAATGTGCCGATCTGTGTCATTTTCTGTCGACTCTGTCGGCAGAGAAACTGGACAATGTAAATAATTAAACAATAAAGAAAATTAAAGGTGCACACTGTTGTCTGGTCCCTTTCAGAACATGCTAAAGGAGCACTTCACCCACAAAATGACCATTTGTACATCGATTACTCAGCCCTTTGAACTCGTCCTGGTTTGAACCCTGGGGTGGGGGAGTCCTTCTGTGTGGAGTTTGCATGTTCTCCTGTGTCTGTGGGTTTTCTCTGGGTGCTCCGGCTTCCTCCCACAGTCCGAAGACATGCAGGTAAATTGTCCGTAGGTGTGAATGTGAGTGTGAATGGTTGTCTGTCTGTATGTGTCAGCGCTGTGACAGAGTGGCGACCTGTCCAAGGTGTATCCTGCCTCTCGCCCAATGTCAGCTGGGATAGGCGCCAGCCCCCCCATGGCCCCCAACAGGATAGCAGCTTTGGAAAATGACTGAATGAATATTACAAACTCACTAAACCTGTGCAGTATAATCCAAGTCTCATTTGCTCAGTACTTCCCAAACACATAAATTTGCCCTAAACCTTACTATTTCAAACACTTCCACATAAGCAGTGTCAAGCATGGATGAGTAGCGCGTCTGGGCAAGCACATACGTTTGATCTCTGCTCAGTGGAATGCACAAGCAAAGTGCACTACTCATTTGTGGAAGCGTTTTAATTGTAAGGTTTTAGTGGAAATGCATGTGTTTGGGAAGCACAGAGCATATGACTGCATAAATGAGACTTGGATTATACTTCAGGAGCTGTGTGTGAGTTCAGGATGTTTTGATACAGTATTGTGGCATCTTTTACACAAATTCATTAAGAATTTTCTCCTTTTCTTGAAGTTTTCATCACAAATTCAACCAACAGGGTGAGTAATGATGATTGTGGGTGAAATAAAGTCACATGGTAAAGATAACATTGCACTACATGAGCAAAGTAAGTTTTCTTAACAGTTTTTATTTATTGAACATTAAGGCATATATATACAATCATACGACTTTTCATCAAAATAGAATTTACAACCTAAACCTCTTTGGTTTTCATTATCAAAACAATATAAGGCACGTAGGGAGCATTTTGCATTTCAACGGTATGAAGTAACTGATTTCTGAGGTTTTACAGATGCTAGTTTGTCAGAATGCTCTCACCAATGATCTACTGATTGCATGAGTGAGCTAGTCTTTCTTGCAGATATTTAACCACGTTGGTGTGAGCAGCACAAGCATTCTCACAAGCTAACTATATAGGAATGTTTCTTTTTAAGCTTTACAGAGTCTCAATTAACACGGTTAACAAACTAAATTACACAAAACAAATAAAAAAAATCCTCATAAACGAAAAGAATGCCACTTCTTAAACAAAGACAACAAAAAGGCAGAAGCAAGCAGTGCTCATTCTGCTTTGAATCAAACGATGCAGCTGGTGTCGTAACATTTTCCTGAGTGCAAAGTTCAGAGAGTATGTGAGGGAAAAAAGGGACAGACAGTGAGTGGGTGATGTGACAAGGATGCCAAATATTAAATGCAATGTGAATTTGACTGAAAGAAAATTTCTGATGTGACATTTTTTGTAGTGTTTGACTGGAAACGGGCATTACGGATACAATTATTATAGCTTTGTAACATGCAAACACTATTTAGTACAATACACACTCTCAGTAAATGTGTAATGACAAAATGTTTCTCGCCAGAGCAGCATGAGCAGCACCATCATTTGGCCTATTCATAAAATGAAATCTTTACTGTGTTTTGTCAGATGAAGCCAGAAGCACAAGTTCATGTGCTCTTCATGACTTCACTTCAGCTTCTTAGTAAATTTAGAAGTAAAACAAAAGCAGATTTGGCCTAAATACAAAAAAGCTTCAAGTAGAAAACAAGACCTCGTGTGAGAGGAGCTACAACATTACAGCTCTGATTCAAACAAATGCAGTAAGCAGTCTGACCAGTAGGGAGAGGCAAGTGATCAGAGGTGTGTCTGCTGTTGTTTGAACCATAAAGCTCGTTTCCCACAGAACAGTGTGCATGAGCTTTTCCGAAGGGCTGGGCAACATATTGAAATGAGACTAGATATCATGTTAGATTTTGGATATTGTAAGTATTTTGTGAAAGCACCAATGGGTCAAAAACATCTTGATGTTTGTTTTTCTCCATATCACCAAGCCCTACTTTATCCACTTCGGTCTTGTTGACAGTATTCATACATTCAGTCTGATAGTGAACCACTACATTTCAGTCCTTCTGTAACAGATTGTAAAACTGTGTTTGAAGAATGGGCTTCAGAGCAACGAAACCACTTGTACCCAAAATGCTGGCACGAATAAAACCTCTGCCCAACGTGGTTGTCTGCGGTGTGAGGGAGCGATATTTTAACTGTGTCAAAGCCTCTGAACAGGACTACTATTCTTGTAAACCCTCTGCTTGCTCTGGTTTTGCACCAGACAGCTCAGAGTGTGTTAATAGTACACTGAGATGTTGAACATTTCCTAAAAATATAAACAGTAATTCTGGCACAGAATGTCAGAGAACGTCAATGAATGCAATTAACATTTGAACATCTGCACAGACGGACAACTGGAGGAAATATGAGGCTAAAAACTACACTCATAGATTTCAAAATGCCAACTCAGTGGAGCTATTAGCAGGGAGCATTTCTCGATGTAAATGAATTGGTCGTGCCAAATGTCCACTTTGGTATTCCAGGCACTCACAAGCATGCATGCAACCTTCTGTCCCTGCTGGTGCTGAGATTGAACCTCTGCGTCTCCGTCTTATTGCTTTCATTCATCAGACGTTTTATCATACTTACAGCTAAACTCAGGGAAAAAAATGACACGATAAGGCCTTTTGTGATTTAGCACCGACACCACAGGCAAACTGAATGGCATTTTCTGCTGTGCAGAAACACGGAGGCATGACAGTACATCTCAGCTACATCACAATCCTTCCTTTTCCCTTTGTCCTGCTACACTAGCTAGACATCCTGAAAAACTCCAACTATGGAGAGTTCAAAGACAGACTAAGTAGGTAAAGCAATGACAGCATGTTATGCTCCTCCCCATTGGGGAGTAATGAGATGCAGACCGACGTCCATAGAAACCTGAAAACATGTGTGATGTCTCCTCACTAAACTCAATAAACCCAGTGCTCTGGATTGAATTAGCTGGTACACATTTGGCCTCTGGACACTGTTTCATCTCTCTTTCATATTCTTTGGTAGAACTCTGCAGAGAGGAGGCTGAATCAACTTGAGGTTTAAAGGTTGATGTAGTGTATTTAACCCGACAGTAACAGAGGCAAAACGTGGTTTTTCAGACTCCGTCGTAAAGGTTTAACCTAATGAGGCACCAGGTGTACTGTGTGTTCTGTATGCAGTTCAAATAATGATATGGCACATTACCCAAAGCATCCAGACACACAAAGACAATGTGTGCCAAGCCTGGGTCCCATGGATACTTGAAAACAGTGTCGTGCTTGCATATGTGGAGCTGCTGATCAAACATGGACTTGTTAACGATGCATATTTTGCAGCTGCATTAAGCCATTTTTGACCACAAACCAAAAGGAGCTGCAATGGCTAACATCTGTGCATAATTAAACATCCAGCAGATACAGAGCAACATTATCATCCTACAGGCCACCTGAAAAATATGAGTCCAATATGCACGTTCATTTTCGCAAACTCCTGAGAAAAACATCTGTGTGTCCAGCTCAGCAAAGGGTAGACTTTCTTTACCATCCACACTATTTTTTTTTACTATTTTTGACTGGAAAGTGGCGCGCAGTCAGCTTGACTGAATATGTGGGCTGAAAACAGTCAGCTAAAAGCAGCTAGCATCTACAGTATGTAGAGTAGGGTGTTAATTCTGAGGGGGTTCAATACTATGAAGGATTCTTTTACAATAGAATTATTTGAGTTGTTAATATAAAAAATATTGCTTTATGCAGGTTAAAATGATTGCAAAATGCAGACTACTGCTCTGTTCTATCTACAGGATTGACTCAAACATTTATATACTCCTTTATTTGACAATGGCTATATTCACATGCACAATATGTTTAACCGTTAATCCAGGTATGACAGTATTCTCAATTTGATAGGGGTCATGTAAACAGCATATTCTGTTTGGGTATAACAAATGATGTCTTATTCAGAATGTAGCATTGTCCGAATAAGACTTGGGATATGATGGGATCATTCTGGTTTTAGGAGCATTCCTTTTTTATGACATGTATAAAGCATATTTGGAATATGTGTGTCAATTGGGGTTTTTACTGCAGTTTGTAGCATATGGCCTCCTGTTTGTTTACGGTCAGCTCTGTGTGTTGTCAAGGTTACATTGCACACAAACCAACTCGCCAACAGTTTGCAGGGCTGTGGGTTAGAGTGTGCCCAAAAGAAATACACACACTTCTAGAAGGAGAAATACACCTTCTTTTAAACATTATGAAAGACTCTGATGACGTGATAAACAACACGTTAGGGCACATTAATCAAAGTATGCACAGCTGCATGTAAACAAGAATATTAGTAGAATATTCATTTTTGTTAGTCATGTAAACAGCTTAGTGGGAATACTGTCTTTTCGGAATAAGGGGGAAAAGAACTGAATATTTGGTGCATGTAAGCATAGTCATTGCTTCTTTGAATGTATTGCATTCATCAATTCTCTCGTGGGAAAACATCTCCCTCTAACATTCACACACAATCTTCTCTCTTTGCTTTTCTCTCTGTCTCACTGCTGTAATACTGTCCACTCGGCCGTCCAGCAGCCTTCACTCCTTTACATACAATGAAAGCATCATGGCAGTCACCTGAAGTGGAAATAGTCCAAGGCCACTTATTAATATAGGTTACAGGATCTCAGGGGGGAACACTCTCTTGATCTGATTGATAAAATACTCCTCTGCTGGTCACAGGACTGAGCTGGGAGAAAATTTGGTTTCACACTTGTGCAACGTGCAAAATACAAGTTCTTTAGACACACCGAGCTCTGACGTGAGCACAACACAAGCTAAGCTCTCCGCCGTGGCAGCAGCTCTACACACCTGGGGTTGACGTAGTAGAATCCACTTTGCCACGAGCGGTGGCTGCACTGGTCTGGTTCATTTCAAAGCTTCAGACAAATGCGGCTGGAAATGAATAATTAAACTCATTCGACAACCAGAGTTTGAAAGGAAAAAACAAGCCAACTACGTGGCATTGCGATGTGCCAGCAGGCTACAGTATGGACATGTTTTCAGGTTGGTGTGGTTGTGAGTGTGGCATGGGCCCTGCCAGTGATCCAAGACCGTCCATCTTGTGTTCTCTCCCAGCAGGTCCCAGGGTCCCTCTAGCCAGCACCACCATGGTGTCTGATGACATGCCGGCAAACTCAAAGGCAAATGTCCCATAAAACAGCATGACGATGACGCAGAACACCCATTCGAAGATGGCCGACGCGTGTTGAAGGACGAAGCTTTCCTGACAGAAAAACACACCACCTGAAAACATGGTTAAGGACAACAACAACATCTGATTCACCTCAGTACAGACTCTCTTTGACTGCTCTTCCTTAGACTGTCTTTCTACATAGCTAGCTTCATAACAGCTCAATGTCAGATAGGAGAGTAAATAATTAAATATTAATGCAGCAACAGGCCGATACCTGTTGATTCTCACTTCCATTGTGGCTTTTGCATTGGTGTTTTTCATTAATGCGCTTGTGTTTTTCGAATTTGCAAAGTGTTTTAAATATGCAGTTTGTTCAAAGGGCCACTGTCGAACACAGATTAAGGCAGCACAACAAAGTAGAATTTACCAGTTTCAGTCACCTAGGTAAAGAGCATTTTAGACACAACCTAAAACAACTGTTTGACATTTTGTGGATTTTGGCAGCTCTTTGCGAGCACTGTAAGTTCTTGGAGTCATTGCAGGTGGAGACAAGCCTTGAGGAATCATCGTGCCAGGCTGCAAAGAAATAGTCTTGCAAGTAGGCCTCCAAAAACCCCGCACATTGTCGGTTTTAGACTTCATTTTTTGCCCAGATTATCAGATAAAATGTTAAATAATTAGGGAGCTTACAAGGTCATATCAGTTGTTACCTTCAAACAGAGCTAAGCTAGCTGTTTCCAGTCTTTATGCTAAGCTAGGCTAGCTGATCACAGCTTTATTATTTCCCTTAAAGACATGAGAATGGTATCTATCTACTAATATAACTATCAGCAGTAAAGCAAATAATCATTTTTCTCAGCATTGACTGTAGCAGATCTGTTTGAAAACATGTCCTCTATAAATCTTTCTACTCTCATGTATAGCTGTAAAAATGGCCCACACCATGAAAGACAGGATTTGACACTGAATACTGGAGGGAAACTGTTGTTGTGATATAATGTGGAGGGGATGTCTCTGTCCTTAATCAGGCTGGCAGTGCTACTCTCTATTCTTGACAGCCTTGAAGGCTGCCATCTGTCAGAGGCTGGAGAGGATACTGAGCACCAAGGCTACGAAGGCCAACAGGGTCATGCAGAGCCGGAGGTGAGCCACGTTGTACTCTCCCTGGGTCTTGGCCAGTCGGTAAGTCAGTGCCGACTGCAGGCACACAAACAGCATACTGGTGGGGAAGGCAATGCCTGCTCCGACATAGTGGAGAACTTTGGCATTATCCACCTGTCATACAAAGAAAGGAGACAGGAGGAGAGGGTGGCAGAGAAACAAGGGTTATATTGAGATAGGTAAGAGAACGATAATACACAAAATCTGCAGTTTAGTAGCTGACAAAGAAAAGCCATGAGGGAGCGATCAGAAGGGGGCAACATCAGACAGCTTTTGCACCAAGCTGTTGGGTCTGAATCTGATTTTTCATTGTTGTGTAATACTTTCTTTGAAGCCTCTTAAGGAGCCAAAGAAGAATAAGTGAGAACAAGAGGGTGATATGAAGTAAACGACAGCAGCAAGCAGCACCACAACGCCTCCTTTTCCCTGCTGGTCACAAGGACAAAAAGAAACAATACACAAAAGAGCTGCTCAGGAGCATGTGACTACAGCTCCCACTGCAGGATCCACACACACACACTCACAGAGAGAGGGAGAGAGCTCAGATGTACTGATGAGAACAGATAAGAGATTCAATGGAGCATTAACCAAAGCTAGAAACACATCTCCAAGGACCAGCCTAATTTAGACTGATGACAAAGAATTGCTTTTCTTGGCTGATGCTGAATCATTAAAGCCCTGTGTTTGGTATAACTGTTCCTCTGCTCCACGTAACTCATAGGGATCATTAGCCTAGAAGTTATTTAGTTTTGGCTTCTAAGCCATTTGTCCATTGACCTGGTGAGTACATACCGAACATTCTTGTGCAGTAGGCTAATCCTTGAGGTGAAATAAGATTGCCAGACAATTCAATATGAAAAGCACAGCAATACAAGTCTTGTGTGTGACATCTCCAGAGCTGGTAGTGAAGATGGGAGATAAACTGCAGCATGGACTTACATAATTCCCACGTTCTTCTGTCCAAAAAGCAGGGTTTTGTTCACAGTGGGAATTCTATTTTAGTTGAGTGCCTTCCACAGTAAAGTGGCTGTTAGGAAATCTTATTTCGTCGACTGCATCACCACTCCATCTACTACAACAGCATCAAACTGGCAGTGTTGTACTGCCAATCTGTTACTCACTATACTCTGTAATGGAAAAACAGTATACGCACAAACTACAACCATATGCTTTCTTCTCCTTGCATTTTGTTTTAACTGATGTTTTTTAAAGTAAAACTGCACCTCGTTACCCGATTCCATCTTCTCAATTGTGAGGATTTGCTGCTCATCTTTGTCTGATGTGACAGTAAACTAAATATCTGTGGGTTTTGGAATGACGTTCAGATAAACCAGGCACTGTGATATTTTTTAGACCAAACAATCAATTTATCAAAAATATACCTGGCAGATTAATCAGTAATGAAAATAATCCGTACATCACACAGGGGTCTGTGCTGCATATACATGTGTGTGCTGCCTTGTGTCCCAGATTCTCTCACTAATTGCGTCATTACCTGATGGTTTAATGATGCATTAAGCCATCAGGTACAGCTTTACTGTCCTACTTTATGTATGTTTTCACACTTTCTACAGTATGGCAGGACCATGTGCTGTCACAACAATGTGGGTTAGAGACAAAGGTAATGGAAAAACTATATATATAATACTGATGGATGGTGCGAGCAGTGAGGTGGACTGAAATGTGGCGGCAGACGCAGCAAAGAAACTATGAAGAAACCGGAGAGACATATGGGAGAAGCTCTCATTACGGCTACATGTGTTAATCAGAAACTACACATCTCTGAGCATCTGCCTTCATCTGTCACCGCTGAAATGTTCTGCAGCTAAAAGCCACCAGAGTGTGTGTGCCCACATCTGTCGTATTTTCTAAATATTGATGCCAAGTTTCAATAACCAGTTCTCCTTCACTGACATTCTTAGACATGATACTCGGCGATATTTTTCATGTACATGTGTGTGCTGGGAGGGGAACATGTGTTGGCCTCACTGATGATCCAACTTAATTAAATATGTTTTGAATGATTGTGTAATATAGCTGATGCAGAAAGTTAAAAGTGTGCAGGTTGATAAGGGGTGTGATGATGTTCATTTCGGGAACATGCCCAACTGACGTCCAACTTTCTGTCAACTTTAGTTTTCATTTTCTGGAAACTGAACCAAGTGAGACAAAGTGAAACTAAAGTGACTTCCAATCGTTAACGACACACCTGATGGTGCCAAACCCTGTAACAGAGTGTCACAACTACCTACTGCAAAAGCAATTTAAAAAGACTTTCAGCTTCGCAGCGCACAAAATGCAACCCACGTTGCTAGAATCAATGTTGGCATTATATGTTTCTGCCAACCATGGATCTCTTACATTTGTTATCATATAGTGGATACATTAAAGGACAACTTAGGTATTTTTCATCCTGGGCTCTATTTCCCCATGTGTATGTGTGCGTATGATTCATGGGTACCACTTGTTCTAAAATTGGTTCAGTATTGAGCCGCGAAACGAGCTAAAACGGCAATGGGGGCAAATGTGTCCCGTATAAAAGTGCTTTTTTTCGCCACTGACTGGTTCAGATCGCCAGTGCTATCTCTGTAGATAGCATATTGTAGCAGCCCTGGGGCAGTGGTGAGGATGAATGAGTGGAGTCAGCTGTCAGTCAGTGTTGGAACAGAAAGGCGGAAGGCGTCCCCGCTTGGTAATGTAAATGAGTATGTGTGTGTGAAGTATGTGTTACGCTAGAAGAGTCAGAGGAGGGAGTCTTTTACGTGCTACCCCCTGGAGTGTTACCGGAGTTTTTGGAGCGCTCAAATAAACGGGCCTTTTTCCCGAACGCAAGAACAGGATGTCGCGCAACACCCCGTACAGCTTTCACAGGCTGCCTTTGTCGGACGGCGAGATGCTGAAGTTGTGGCTAGTTGTGCTGCAAATGGATGCTAACACTCGTGTCCAGACACTGCGCCTTGCAGACCATCGGGTCTGCAGTGCTCACTTCTCCCAAGATGACTATTGCCAGCCGAAGAGGAGAAGACATCCAATCCCGAAACACCTCTTCCTCAAGGAGACGGCTGTCCCACAAGTAGAGAGAGCTACAGACACAGTGGAGCAAAGCTTGTGACATCACACAGCCCAGAGGTAAGGGAAAGGCTAAGTTAGCATGCTATTTACAGAGATAGCACTGGCGATCTGAACCGGTCAGTGGCGAAAAAACACACACTTCACACACACATACTCATTTACAATATCGAGCGGGGACGCCTTCCGCCTCTCTGCTTCAACACTGACTGACAGCTGACTCCACTCATTCACACTCACCACTGCCCCAGGGCTGCTACAATATGCTATCTACAGAGATAACACTGGCGATCTGAACTGGTCAGTGGCGAAAAAAAGCACTTTTATACGGGACGCATTTGCCACCATTACCGTTTTAGCTCGTTCCGTGGCTCAATACTGAACCAATTTTAGAACGAGTGGTACCTATGAATCATATGCACACATACACATGGGGAAATAGAGCCCAGGTTGAAAAATACCAAAGTTGTCCTTTAAAACTTTACGTTTCAACAGTGCTGTGGTTAACATGTGGTTAGGTTTAGGCACAAAAACCACTTGGTTTGGGTTAGGAAAAGGTCACATTTTGGCTTAAAATACCCAGTTTTAGTGGCACAATCCGAGCTGGAAAGGCAGCTTTGTCTTGGTTAAAAAAAAACAACACAGTTTTTTGTGTCACTATCTGATCAAACGCAGAGATGTCTTGATAAAAAAAAAACAACTACATTTTGCAGCACGATCCCAGCAGGAACCACAGTGATGTCTCAGTAAAATAAACTGCTTTTCGTGGCACTATCCCCGGTGGAAACACAGCGTCAGTTCATCCACCATCCCCTCCACTTCACGATGACAAAGTCAGCTCATATAATACGTCACTTCAGAAACGCTGAGATGTATGAAACATACAAATGTAACATATCTGTGATTTGTAAATGTGTACAATGCCATCATTTCCTTCTGGTGACTCAGCTGACAAAAAGGGGACCCTGCATATAAAGCCTTTAATACATTTATTAACTTATGGGCAGAACTTAAAACACACCTGAGCCTCATCATGCACATGTGACATTACATTACTACTTAAAGGCCTTAAAATGGAAGGCACTGCATTGGACTCAATTTATCCAATGTTTCGTAATATTTTTTTTACAATATGCAATATTGTGCAAAGAAGTGAAAGAAGTTTTGCAATCGTTTTATGGCTTTTGGTTAAGCCTATTTTATCAGCAAAAATGTTGCACAAACCAACAACCCCAACTTCTTTGTTTTTCTGTCATACAGAAAACATCAATTTAATAACCTTCTCTTCCTTTCGTCCCTTCTCCTCTGAGACAAACACCCATTATAAGACATTCTGCAGCCATGTCATATACACATTTCATAATAAATTCAATAATGCAGAACCACAATTATCTTAACACTTCGGATTTTGCACACATTAAACAAACAAGATAAGTATTAAATTAATGACTTCTAGAGCTGGTAGGAGGATTTTGTCACCTCGCTGTTTCCCCGTGTTTCCAGTCTTTGTGCTAAACTAAGCTAAGCTAGGCAACCAGCTGCTGGCTGTGGCTTGATGACATGAGTGGTATCGATCTTGCCCTCCATAACCAAAATACATTAAACAGAAAGGTAAAGGGAATTTAAATAATTTCATGCACCACATTGCCAAAATATCATTGTTCACAGTGACAGCAAGAATGTTTGACACTGACAGGACTCCATCTGGATGCACAAGGCAACATGGCCCTGCTGTCAGAGAGCATCATCTGTAAAGGAGCATGCAGGATGAGCAGTCCATCCAGCTTCTCTGGACCTCTTTCTTTCTCTCCTCCTCCTGAAGGCAGCTTTCGACCTAGCCATGTCACTGTCATGGACCTCTGTGTGGCAGTGATGTGCTTTTCCATCATCTATTTATGTGCTTCTCTGCTCAAACCATCAGACCACCCGACAGGAAAAGCCCCAGTGGCCGCACACCACAGCTGCTCTGCCAAAGCCTTACATAACACACAGCTACAAACTGAAGCAGTTGCCACCACTCAGTATGTTGCCATGTGTTGTGTTTCTAGTGATTTCGCTCACTTTGATATGTCGAGTTCATCGGATTTTGGCTGCTGTTTTCTCCTCTGATTCCAACTTGTTTGTGGTGTTAGCTTGTAAATGCTGTCTGCATATGTTTTGGATCTGTGCTTCATGTTGCCAGCAGATTTCTTTTTCTGTCATGTGGTTTATTCAGTTTATTCACCATCAATGACATCTCTATTTCCATCCCACTGGAATGTCACTGACTATAAGTGATGCGATGTCTGTGAAAAAGGCGGCTACAGTCAGGCCTGTGATTGGTTATAGATAGGGCCTCTGCTACACACACCCTGTCTGCCCTGCTCCTCTCCATGCATGGCCAGACTTGATGACTCACTTCCCCCTGGCTCTTCCCATAAAATTCCGCCCAGTTCTGCAGAGCAGAGGCCCAGGAGGAGAAGCGGGAAAAAGGTGAACACAACCTTTCTCCGAAAACTACTACTGCACACATGTCTCAGACACTCCTGTAAGATGATTCTTCTTCTTTGTCCTTCTCATCACAAAGTTAACTTCAGGCATAAATTGTCTGACTAAGAGGTCATGTCTAGGGATGGGAATCGTGAAGCAGCTCCAGTTAAGAACCTGTTCCAAACAAATCCATCGAAATCATATGCCTCTGAGCTTATAAATTCCGTTTATTTATTCTAGCATGTTTTTTCTGGAAATTGCACATTGCAAAACAATGATGTCAAACACATGTGTCTATACTGCTGAAATCAGCAGACGTGGCTGAGAGGAGGAAACTGCCCAAAGCGTGGCTTCATTTCACGAAGAAAGATGACAACAGTGCTGCTTGTGATGTCTGTAAAATTATCATTTCAAGGCTGGAAAAACACCAGCATTATGCTGAACAAATTTCTACAGAATATGGGTTTAAACTCTCCTTGTATTCAACACTTTATGCACAAGTTTCCCCACCGAGCAGCATGTCTCTTTCCAAGAGTAAATAACCTATGTTATAATAAGATTAGTGCTGCACATGCAGACTTAGCAGATTTTTTCTTTGACTAAGAAAACCTTAATGAAAATAGATGCTGTAAAATATTTCATCCATCAAATGATGACAGACTGTTGCTACACACAGGAAACTGATCAAGAATCAATGGGGCAATCAATAAAGAATTGTACGAATAAGAAGAATCAATAATGGCATTGGTATCAATAAAATCCCATTCCAGTCCCTAGTCATGTCATCCACAGAAAGCATTTAGTTAAGTTTGCTTCTCATCTCTAACATACCTGACGTACATCATCTGCACAGTCCCATCCCATCTCCACTCATGTTTCAATAATGGACAACATGGTAAATCATATGTATCATATAATCTCCTAAATAACTATCTTAGACCAATTAATCATAAGCAAACTAAAGAAAGACTGTTTAACAGGAGAAGTTGCAGGGCAAGTATTAAGCATATAAGGGCATCAAATGTATCCACGGACTGAAACTGATGATTCATGCATGACTAATACATTGTAGACAGTTTTCTAGTAAAAACATGCTGAGAATGATGAAACAATGACAATGGATACACTCAAGGAATGAAACGTGTTTTCATAGAAACTTTTCCAGCTGCATGTATTTTAGAATTAACATGAAAAACTGTAGGGCCATACTGATGATTAAAAGGACCATGGTATACCATGGCATATGGTGTGTACCATGTGAGTTACATGTCTTTTTCCTTCTTGTCTCTCTCCCATTATTTCCTGTCAATGGTCAACTATTTAACAATATTTATAAAGTTGAAGGACAAAACCATAATGGTAACAACATTTCACAGATGTATCCAGCCTTTCATCAGAAAACAAACTGTGTCTGTATTATCTCTGAAGTCCCACTCCCAAACTCCTCTTTTTTTTTCTTTTTTTACAAAAATACCAATGAGGCTCATTACAGCTACTCCTAACTGCTCTCTCTCTCTCTCTCTCTCTCTCTCTCTCTCTCTCTCTCTCTCTCTCTCTCTCTCTCTCTCTCTCTCTCTCTCTCTCTCCCTCCCTCCCACACACACACACACACACACACACAAAGTCTAGGCATCCAGCCAGGGCTCCAAATATTTAAACTTTAAGAAATTCTTTTCCAAAGAACAAATATCTACAGGGCAAGAATTCAGGTTAGACTTCCTCACTTCAGCTACCAGGAAGAGCAGCACAGGGTTGGGCAAACTTTAACAAACCTTAATGTAAATGTTCTCTGAAAAACAACGCATATGTGTATGTGTGTGTGTATGTGTGTGTGTGTGTGTGTGTGTGTGTGTGTGAAAAGGGATGGCGACTTTAGAGTAAAGATAAAATCAAAAGCAGAAAAAGGTGTAGAGTCATGAACCATGAATGTTACTGAGAAACACTGAGAAATTTCAGTGACATGCAGTTTTGTTTGGGGAAGCAATTAACGGTTACTTTCATCAAGCATTTTCTCTAAACAACATCAGAGAGCAGTTAACAGGAACCCATCATAATTTTCTTGAACCCAAGGTGATGACGTCATGTCTTGTTTTCAGTGCAAAGCTCAAAGATCCATCTCAATCTAATGTGTTTTAAGACCCCAAAAAGCAACAACAACAGATTTTTTTGCAATTTGCCGAAAAATGTGCCTAAACAATAAATCAGTTATCAAAATAGCAGCAGATTCAATTTCGATAAAGTGGTTAATCAACTAATCGCTGCAGATCTATTTCTGTTTAACAGTTTATTGTAGTTTATGTTAAATGGTGAATGGACTGCACTTGTGGCGCCTTACTAGTCTTCTGACCACTCAAAGAGCTTTTACATTATCGAGTCACATTCACCCATTCACACACACATTCATACACTTACAGCCGAGGCTACCATACAGGGTGTGGTACTGCTACCATTCACCTGTTCTCACACACCGATGGAACAGCCATCAGGAGCAATTTGGGGTTGAGTATCTTGCCCAAGGATACTTCGACATGTGGAACTGGAGGAGCCTGGGATCAAATCCCCAATGTTGCAATTGGTGGACGACCCGCTCTACCTTTGAGCCACAGTCATTCAGTTCAGTTTTATATTTTCCACTGGTGGTTTACTGTTACAGCTAGGGTCTCTCACTCTTTTATATGCAAGCACACACATACTGTGCCATTTGGGATACTTAATCTTATTTCCCTTGTTGAATGGTATGACTTTTCTGCTATGACTATATCAGATCTTTTTCATCATTAATTGTAAAATTTATCATCGCATTTTATCTCTGTCTGATGAAAGTTAACTGGATCACCGTACCTGGAAGTTGCCCACCATGATGAGTCCAGCAGCACAGATCCAGCCTGTGGAGAGACTCGCCGTGTTGAGAACACAATTTTGGTGCTTCTCAATGACGTGGGCATAACGGAGCAGCACAATCACCATAACTACAGAAGGAGAGACATAAAGAGGAGATGGAGAAGGTGAATCAGTTATTTGGTGGCTCCGACGACTGTTCAGCAGATTATTCACACATTAAAATCACTGCACCAGTGGAACAGTGAAATGCTGTAAGAAAGGGAGAAATATAGCATATTCTGTTAAAAGTACCCTGCACACTGCTGGAAAATGTGCGTTATTATTTCACAGTTCCTGGCTTGAGTTTAATTCAAACACTAGCACACCTCACTTAGCCAAAAAACACAAGATTTCCTTGGAAGCTGATTAAAAAAAAAAAAATCACACATAGTTGAATTTCTCTGTGTAACAAGTGGGAATATGAGAGGCAGGAAATGGCGGGAAAGTGGGAACAGTAAATGGGTGGGGGTTGGTGTAAGCCTTGCATAAGATTAAAAGGCGAAGGGAAACGAAGTACAGTATATGGGACAGATGACTGCTGATGTGCTAATGGGCTGTGACTGAGGGTATTGTTGGTGTGCTGAGGAGCTGACCCCCGCTTGGTTTCTCTTTGTTAGCTCCTCACGGCTGGTGCCTGACAAGGACTGACTGGGCTTGGTGAAAGCAGGGCATAGGGGGTGAGTGGAAAAGAGGAGGCTGAGAGAATTAGAGGGGACAAGGAGCCCCTCGTGTCTTGACCTGAGGCCCATACATTGTCTCAGAGACTAAACTGTTGTCTTAAATCTGTCACCATCTGTGTAAGAGACGGGCTTTTAGATGGTATGTGCTGCCTAAACAGAATAAAAATGGAAACCGTGGTCACAGAGAGGAAAGTAAAACATCACTGAGGCATCAAGCTTTGTCTCCACAAGTTATAGTTTGCATATGTTGTGGCCTGCCCGACTGTAAGCCAGCTTCTCAATGTGTTAAACGTAAAGTATTGAGATGTTTTGAGCCATTTCCTGTTAGTACAATAAAGTTTAAGTCCATGACTTCTATCTACTGACTGCAGAAATAGTGCACAGAATATACTTTTTATTATCCGTGTACAGTAAACGTAACTATATTAGGTTTTTTGGTTTTACTAAAATGTGAAAAGCATCCAAGTCTTTTTAAATTTTGCTTGATTATGTGCATTTTTCACAAAACACAGCATGTAAATAAATCACTGACACTTTGCAATTAATCAAGACAACATTTAAAGGGCCAGTGTGTAAGATTAGTGGCATCTAGCTGCCATCCAGGTTACAGACCTGAAACTTCTACCCTGTGCCAAGTGTGTAGGAGAACTACAGGTGCCTGAAGTGAAAACGCTAATGGCCGGATCCAAAGCCAGTGTTTGATTTGTCCATTCTGGGCTACAGTAGAAACAACCTAACAGACTCTGTGGAAGAGGACCTGCTCCATCTGTAGATAACACAACGATTCTTATTTTCAGGTGATTATGAACGAATAAAAAACATAGGTATGAATATTATACAGATAAGCAATGCAATTAACATTATAAAAATGTGTAGAAACATTATTTGTGCTCAGATGCTCAGCCCGAGAGAGCCCATTCTCTCTGTTCCCTCAGCACAAAATCCTGGCAAAGTGATTACAGTTACGATCACAGAAAACAAACAAACAGCAGTGTCTCCAGGCTCGGAAACAATCTTGTCTTTGTTTTTTTTCCCACTCCGTCTTTTAAAATGGAAGAACAAAATGTATTGCTGAAGGGACAGGAAAGTCAACTGCAGTTTATTTCATTTGATTATGGCATCTCGGTCTGTCTGCTTCAGACTGGCTGGCTGTAGTTTTGGATTTTCCCCCCATTTCAACAAAATTAGTTTTTCATCATTACAAATGGGCATGTTTGAACCTGCTGGCATTTAGCAGTTACCCTTAAATTACGCAAGCTAGGCCTGAAGGTTAACGACATGGGAGAACATTTTCCCATCACTCTGTATGAGGAAATCCTTCATGTTTCATTTTTATTTTCTGCACTCTAAAGGCACACTTATGTGCACTGTGTTCTTATGTGCATGTCATGCTGGTGACAGGTTCCTACAGCATTACGGCTACATGTCACGTGAGTAAGCAACACAGCTGACCTCCACTTGGCCTCAGATGGTCAGAACAAGCTGCTGTCTCACAACTCAAGAACAGGAATAAGTTTACATAATGTCAGCATCTCAGCTCTTGTCACCTTCCACACAGACTCCGGATCTTACTCCTTTTCTCTGCACTCAGGAAACACAGGAGAGGAAGTCTTGGCTGATATGTTACTCTTTGATGAAAGCTACCTTGCAACAACGTGGACATACTTTGACGTATAACCTGCCATCACAGCCACAGACTTCCTTTTTTTTTACGTATAGACGTGAGCAGACACAAAACAAGTGCACATACACACAGTGTAAGCACATATTCCCACGAAAGTCACATCAGCCACACCACACTTCGCAGTTAAATAAACCCTTCTGTCCCCACAAGGAGCTGTTTCAACCCAAACACCCGGCTGCATTCTCTCCCACAGGAGGTATGCTGGGAGAGAATACGTGCATTGTCTTTGAAACATTGTGTGTGTACGCTAGCAGAGAGGTGGGAACTGGGATAAAAACAAGGAGTATAATTATGAGCCAATATACAGTTCATTGAGTCTGTGTTATCCCAGATAGAAGTGAAACCCTGAGCCTACTGTAGCACACACAAAGTAAGACATAAATCAATTGGCTAAGAAGCTAAGCACTGATTATTTACAATAGCCCGTTGTATAGCCACATGCCACACCAACTTAACCTACTTTTGTAGAGCCATAATAACTTCCTTTACAACAGGTATTAACAGGGCGCTGTGTTCAGACTAATTGGAAGGTGAAGAAAAAAGTAAACACAGACAAGGAAGCTGCAAATGCAGCCAATATGACCTGATGATTGAAACGGGGAAGGACACCTGCAGAGGTAGTTTAAATGCACAGGAATAACCTGTTTATGATTGGGATTTTGGAGTTTCCCATTCATGTGTTTGAGCTCATGTAAACACCATATCCCAAATATGATCATAACCAGTGGAAGCCTCACAAACAGGTTAATCATGCCCATGTAAATGCACTTATAGATTCGTTTAAACAGCTGTAAATGCAGCTTGATTCACAACTATAGTGTAGGTATTTCACTTTCTTGCTGACACAAATACTACTACAACCACCATTTATGTAATAAAATACTATTCAGGGAGATTTCACTTGAAATGGGGTTCAAACAGGTAGCTGTGACATCACATGCCTGTCAGCAGTGGTGGAAGAAGTACTTGGATCTTTTACTTAAGTAAAAGCAGCAATACTACAGTGTAGAAATATTCTGTTACAAATAAAAGTCGTGCATTCAAAACTTAAAGTGTTGAGTACAAAAGTGTTACAGTCAAGTGTAATATTGTATAGTTTAGGGTTTTCTTTAGTGTATAATCACCTGAAAATACGAATCTTTGTGTTTTAACTACCTTCGACTGGGCCATTTACATCTACATACAGAGCAAGACCTCTTCCACAGAGTACGCCATGTTGTTCTACAGCCAAGAACGGACAAAAAAAACACCCAACTCTATATAGTGCCATTCCCATTTTTGCATCAGCCATGAAAGTTCTGCTACACACTTGGCATATGGGAAAGTTTTAGTTTTGCAACCTCACCACTGGATGCCACTAAATCCAACACACTGTACCTTTAAACTACCAACAGTAAAACCACTCATTATGCAGAATGGCCCATTTCAGAATAACAGACATTATACTGCTGGATTTTAATTACTGATGCATTAATGTGTTAATCACTTGTGCCACTGGTAAAGGTAGAGCTAATTTTTGAGATTTATAAGATTACATCATGATTTTTTAGTTGATCAATGTAGTGGAGTGAGAAATACAATGCTTGCCTCTGAGATGTAGTGGAGTAGAAGTATAATATATAATACCTCAAGTACAGCACTTAAATAAATGTACTGAATGACATTCCACCACTGTCTGTCAACAATTGACTCATAAAACTGATGGATGGAGAACAAGTGTGCTCAGTCAGTTCTAAAGGATGTGTCGCAATCTACAGTACATGTTTGGACAAGAAAAACAGCTCAGATTTCTTCATGTAAACAACAGGTGTAGTTTGATTTCAGGATGTATGTGATCCAGTTTAGAGCTGGACCAATGAATAAGCTGATATATTGGCTGGTATTAGCTTATTGCAGATGTATTGTATGGCTGAATAGGTGATACATTAACAGTGTCACCATAGTATAGTATGTCCAACAGAGAGCCCTGACAATCCAATGATATTCAGTTTACTATCATAGAAAACAAAGCAAAGCAACAAATATTCACTCTCGAGAGGCTGGATGAAGTGAATTTTTGTAATTTTTGTTTAGTTATCATATTTGTTGCCAATTCATTTTCTATCAATCAACTAATCATTTAATTAACTAATTCTTTGAGCTCTAGTTGTGCTTCTATGTTAAAAAACCTTTCGGCTGATTTATGATTCTGCTGTTATGGTGGTTCTGTCCCAAGAAAGATGTAGTCAGATGCAATTTATGTACTTCATTTAGTGTTAACTAGTAGTTAAATAGACTGATACTTTATCAATTTCACTGTTAGCAGCTTAACAGCAGCTTAGCAGACATAGCCTACATAGTCTGCAATATACAAGAAAAACTTAAAAATATACAATACTTGTCGACAATAGCTGATCTAAATGAGAGGGTTTTTACAGAGGGGGCTGGTTGGACAGGAAGATGGTAGCTGGCAGGAAGGACCAGTACAGTTACTATGCATATGGCCAGTGGAGCTCATTCTAAACCAGACTGTCAGATTTTAGATGCATGTGAGGAGTAATGAGCAGGGATAGCTCTCTTTACATAAACACAGTTCACCAGAAAGTTACTACAGAGTTACAAATAAATCGAGTCAGACATGAACTGTCATCATGGTTGAGCAATGGAGTCAACAGTGGAGACAGGAAATCAGCAATGTTGTGTTGCTTTTGTTTGGCTGTAAACCCTGGGATGCCACACTGTTTGGCAGCTACATTGTTCGGTTGCCACATAAGTTTTTCCTCAACTGATTTGTCTAAGTTTTTGTAAACTTAACGGTACAATCACAGCGCAGTGCTTAGCCTACCTCTCTTTCTCTTACACAAATGCATATAAGTGCCCTATGTCGGCAGACTGACCTACTATGGTTAAAGGGTCATGCTTGGCTAGCAGTGCTGCTCAAATTCTAGACTTTCACTACTGCTTGAACAGACTTTCACACCAAGCTGCAACTGTCTGGTCCCCACAGAATCTCACAAGCACAGTATATAATACTGTATGTGTAGTCTCACTCCCTATTCATAAATACAAACATACGCACAGAAGAGCGCTCATATTCTTGTTACAGGCAAGGGCCAGAGCTGTAATTTGGATGTCAACAACACACAGTAGCATCCATCTCATTTTGAATCTACAAGGATCATTGTCTCATCAGGCAGGCTTTAAATAGCTACTGGACTCCTTATGAGTAGACAAACAAGGCAAAGGGACCTCTTCCCTGCTTTATATCTATGCACGCACACACACACACACACAAAGAACATGTCTAAGCCACAGCTGGGAAACATTAACTTGATCAGGGTAGTCAGACCCACCAGTTAACGTAGGGAACAGCACGTGTAGACACACAAAAAACACACAGGGCAGCACATGGGAGCTCGCTCCCTTCCTTTTATATCACACGTGTTTTTCTTGTGCCTACGAAAATACACACTCATCAAGTGTGTGCTTGTGCATTTGTGGATTATTCCATATGAAACCATTCTGAGGTAAAAAATGTGTTGTCCTTTCTACCTCCCCTTTCACTCAAAATGACCACATGCAGGGTTTTCACTGGCTCTCGGTCAGTGTGGTTGTAGGTTTTGCACGGGACCAGCATTTTTCTGAGGGCAACAAAACTAAAGCTACTCTGCAGCCTTAACATAAGCAAAAGACACTTCAAAGCAACTACATTTAGTGCCTGCTACAGATGAAACGACGGTCTCCTGCTGATATGGTTTAAGGAACACATTTTACTACATAAAAATCTCTTATGAAAGAAAAGTTTCATTTAATCAGTCCTACGTTTATGTAATCATTTAACATATTTCACACATTATATATCATTTCTATAGTCTTTGTTATGCGAAAGAACAATGCAAGACCAATGTATTAGAGAGATATTAGACATGTATTAAACTTATTTGTAAATTATGAGATTTATAGACTTGTTAGATTAGAACATAATCTATGAACTATTATATATTTAAACAGTTAAATAATGTTTGTTGAACTGTAAAGCCCTTTGTAAAAAACAAACAAACAAAAAACAGATATACATTACTATCATTTAAATGAATGAATCAAAAAGTTTTCATGGACCTCCTAGCAGAGTGCCATAGACCCCACATTGTGACTCACTATTATACAGAACTGAGACTATTAATCTATCTACAGAATCTATTATCAAGTATTTTAATAGCTGATTAATAATTAAGTCATTTCTTAAGTGTCAAGATTTGTTGATTTTTATTTTATTTTTTTCGGTTTTATATAACAGTAACCTGAATATCTCTGGACTGTCGGGGGCCAAGCTCATCAAAGCAATTTTTCCTCAGGTCAGCATATTTTTTTAATTCTTTGAAATGGGAATGCTGGGTATTTACGCTCCGCTACAAAGGCCAGCAGTGTGAAGAGGTGCTGAGTGTCTATTCTGCATTGAGCGCTGCATGTCTGGTGTTTTTTTTTTTATGAGCACCTAGAGTTGAAAAATGTTCAGCTTTGGGTAAAACACGTCACTTATCACTGTCACTTTCTACCAAGCTGTCAAATCACAGCAGAGGAGGGGCGGGACAAACACCACAAAGACCCACCATCACATCCTACATGTACAATTGCAGAGCAACAACAACAATGAAGGAGAAATATGTTATACTGTGTATATATTAATATGTGTTTCCTCTCATGGATGCACATAGATTCGTCCTCTCTCCTTACGTTTATCAGCTTTCCCTTCATCCAGAGCAAGTACTCTACCTTGAGGCAACATTTTTACTTCTGTGGATATCCTGTATCCTAGCAACCAGATGCAACAAATGCATCTCCACTGAAAAAACGCTGCAACTCCAAAGCGCTCTCAAGCACTCCCAACTGGGCATTTCCTGAGGAGTGCCTGACATTTTCAGCTGGGAAAAAAAACACTTCGTTGGACACAGGGCACCTTGGCCTCTGAGAAATTGTGAAGGGCATTTTTCACCATTCTCTAACATAGCATATTAGTAATTAAATTAATCATTAGGTGTGACTTCTCATGTGCGTGTGTATGTTTATGCACATGTGCCTTACCCATGAACGAGCCTGTGCTGCAGATAAGGCTGAAGAAGCAGCTCTCGGGGGGAAGAGTTCCACATTTACTGCAAGAAAGATAACACAAAAATAAATCAGAGAACTGCTGTGAATCAACCTACGCACACTACGCAGTAACACTAATTCCCCTCCCACAGTGTGCACTCTGAAATATGGCATGTTAGAGATGCATTTTTGCTCACACCATAAGGAAGGAGGGGGGGAAGACACTTTCTCGCATCCCATCACCAAGCCTGTGACTTTTCACCTACTGCATACTCTCCTCTAGGAATGGGAAATGTTTGTAGGAGGGGAAGGCAGGAGACAGTCAACACAGGCTGTCTGTGCCTGAGCGCCGGCTGCCTACAAAGCCAAAGCCTTCTCAGCTGACTGCAGTCACACACACACACACACACGCACACGCACTCTTCAGAGGGAAATGTAAAATTCAGTAGGCTAATTCTCCCACTTGTGATTTTTTAACAATTCTTTGATGTATTCAATATTTTGATGGATAATTATGTACATTTAGCCAGATTTTAGATTTAATTTGGCAAAGTTTATTTTTAATCAATTACTCACTGACTACAACAGCATGTGATCTCGCTGAGTATATAGTAATATAGCTGGAAAATGTGCATCTCTTCACTTTTACCACCAAAATGTAGATTAAGCAACAACAGCAGCATCGCATTAGTAAAGATCATCTCTGCAACATTTAGACATTTCTCAGTTTCTCAGTTATTTTCTGCAGCTGCACATAGGGTTTGAAGGCTACTTAGTAGTTATGGTTACAAAGTCACGTTCATTGCATAAGCGCGTGTGCATTTTCTAGCAATCTTCTCCAGATATTTTAAACAAACCCAGCAGCTGGTCTTTGATGTTGAAAGCTCAGTGGGACAAAAAGTTAAACAAAAGAGCGGGAGTGTCTTGATTTCCCCCCAAATGTAAGACGGCGCCTCTGTGTGTGCATGTGCATGTGTATGTGTGTGTGTGTTAACATGGTAAAGTGTAGACCCATGCCTTGCCTCTGAACTGCCACGGTGGCAGGCAGGATATTTCAGCCCCAAGTTATTTTCAGAATGCACACGCACACACACACACACACACACACACACACACACACACACACTCAGGAGAAGCATTTCTTTCAAGTTCACTCACTTTTTTATCAACAATGTGTCAACAGGGGACATGTAAGACAATGGGGCAGTGTTCCTGTTTTTAATAACCAAGCAAAAAGTAGAAACAAAGAGACAGAGAAGAGACAGAAAGAGGTAGGGTTGGGCTCAGGGTGGTAGTCTCTCACTGACCTGATGAGAGGTACATTGTCTAGCGTGCAGCACAAGGTTGGCCCACTCTGTAAATACAGGTCCTCTTCACATGACTGGTTGTACAACCTGGAACATCAAACATGCACACACATGTAAAAAAAACCCCACTAACTTAATGTTAAAAGGCACACATATGGAGCAAAATCACATTTATCTTAAGGCATGGGAAAATAACAACTTTAATCCTGCTGTCAAAGTTCCACTTGTCAAAATTTGATTTAAAACCAAAACAAAGTGCAGATGTATTTGTTATTGTTATTAGCACATATTACCCCCCTCTATATATGCGAAGCTTCACACACCTCCGAACAATTTTCAGAGCAACAGTGATCCACTGCTTCGGCTCGATCAGGGCTCAAAGACTCCCTGAATGTTGTTGTCGTTCATGGATTGCGCTGAATAATTTTTTGTGCTCCATCCGCCAAAATGCAAGAGGTGTTGGAATGTCTTATTTATATATTTAAGTTGTGATATAGTTAACATTTTCAGTATTTAGATCGCAGTAAAGGGGCTGGGTATTCAAACTCTATACCTGTAAGGTACTGAAAACAAATAACCCAGTACCAAATCATCTTGAAACTTCCTCAGTCAAATGATACCTCCATTCAATCATTTTTGTATCCAGATCTAGGAAAATTGTAGCCAATCATTGCAAGCCCTCTTCAGATTTATGCGACATGTGATTGACCCACTACCATAGCAACCACAACCCATACAGTCTGTGGTGTGGTGAAGTTGGGCGTGGTGTATTTGACGGAGCTGGCAGTTTAGCGTGCCGAGATACCGACAAGATGTTTTTAAGTATGGTGGCATTTTATGCAACTGAATGCTTCTAATCACATGAAGGTTATTGAATGAAGTAGAAAAAAAGGAATTTATTGAAGTACTCGACTGGCATCGATATCACTTTAAGGGTACTGGAATTGCTACTGGGATCATGATTTTTTTAAATGACACCCAGCCCTGTCAGTAATTACAATTTTCGAGTACCATGTTGTTGGGTTTCAGTCAGGCTTTTTTTCTGTTTCTAGAGCTGCTGAGTCAAAGTGTCAGAGAACCAGTGTGTCATCACATACTGTAGTAGCTCTAACCTCAACAAGAGGAACAGTCAGTTACTCACTGGCAATGCATGAATTGAGAACAATAACAAACACTGAATCATAGTTTAGATCCATGTCTATTTACTACAGTTTATTCTCCTGGTTTGTGTGTGGGGGATTTATGTGTGTAGAAAATAATCCCATTACTTAATGTGCCAATTAAGCTAATTGCATTCCATAGAGGAAAAGATTGGGAAAGAAAGACGCTGACAACGGCAAATTACCAGACTGCAAGGCATAATTTTGTGAGTGTATGGGGATCAACAGAGGTATGAAAATGCAGGGTAGATTCAGCAGCAACATACCAGTTATCCACAGGGCAGACATGTTGATTGTACAGGGCCATGGCGTACCTAAAAGAGAGATAGTTAAGATTAGCCAAAACAAAACGACAACAATTTTGGTATATTGTGAGCTTCTGTTGTGATTACATTGTCACACAACAACACCTAATGAGTAATAATTAGAATAAGAACTGATCTTTAAAATGTCAAGCAACTAACAGCAAATGTATTGTGATAACCACAGCCAATACATATTTATAATTACAACATTTATAATACTGTGATCCCAGAGCTGCTACACAAGAGAGACAGACACAGATAAAGAAATTATCAGTGTGAACGTAATTCCTGGAAGGGAAAAGTAAAACAAGTATAATTTATTTTTAGCAAAACCCTGAGGTTGTCTGTCATGTCTTTTCACAGAACACTGTTTCATATTTGTAGTGCAGTTAACTCCTTTTGTACAGTGTTGGATTTCAACTGCCTACCTACACTTGAGCTATACTTTTATTACCAAAATGTCATATGTTCATGTCCTGCCAGTCTGACCGAGCAATGAGTTCAACCTCTTTGATTAAACTGTATGACCAGACAACCTGATATTTCACAGTTTCTTATCACTTTATCCTGGAATTCGATGACCGCAGATAAAAAGCCTGGCTTGTATCGGTCAAACTGGTTTCATTACTGCTGAAATCAAACAGAAGTGTTTATCTGGTCAGGTCACTGACCAGACACATCCATAGAGAGGTCAATGCCCCGAGGATCAAAAGATAGACAATGTATTCTGCAAGCTCACGGCCCATATTGTAATTCAGATAAAGACTTTGATGCTCATTTTATAGTTAACGTGCTTCACGGTCCACAACTGAATTAAACATTTAAACACTGGACATAAATTTAAGCTCTGTAGGGCTCTAAATAGTGATTGTTTTAATTGTCAATTAATCTGGTACTTATTCTCTTGATTGATCGATTAGTTGTTTGGTCTATAAAACTGTAGAAATGTTGATTAGTGTTTCAAGACAAGGTGACATCTTCGAATGTCTTGTTTTGTCCACAACCCAAAAAATTCAGTTTACAGTCATAGAGGAGTAAAAGAAACAGATAATATTCTAATTAAAGAAGTTAGAATAAGAAAATGTTAACTTTTTTTCTTAAAAAAATTAGTTGGTGATCAATTTAATAGCTGACAAATAATCGTTGAATCAGTTATTCGTTGCAAGTTCTGGGTATATAATGTGAGTGAGCCTGAGAGTCATCACTTAAAGTAAAACCAGAGCTGGACTGGGCAACATATCGAACCATATAACTTTACTGCAGATATATAAGTATCAGTGGATATGTGATATAGTACTGTTTGTAATTTTAAACTTTCAAACTCTGATATCAGTATCAGCCGCACAAATTCAGTATTGCTTGGGCTTTAAATAAAACCTGACATGGGTAAGCCTTTCTTAATTAGGCCACAGTGATGACACAAATTGTGACAATGATCATTAACTGTCCACAAACACTTATAACTCTCACCTCACAGAATATTTTCAGCAACTTAAGGATATCAAAGTTGCACTGAAAAGGCAGACTTATTTCTACCAGGGAGTGAGTTATTCTAGGCTGATGAAATGCCAGTGAATGGTTCACCTTTATACACTGCTGCTTTGGGGTGCAAGTGTCAGGCCCTTGATTATTTCCCCTGCAGCAACATGTACAGCTCAATCTGTCCATACATGTCCAAGTCATATGGAGCAGCAGCTGTAAATATGCAAAACACTGCGTATGAAATGGCTTGCACTGCTCAGTGTGAAGCTCAGAGGACAAAAAGGTGTTAACATCTGCCAAACTGTGCTTTTGAATTGTGAGCCAAGATACATAATTCTACATAATTTTTCTATTTTTAGGTGGACATGTCAGAGGGGCAAAGGGAGGCTCTGGAAGGAAAAGCGTTTGTCACTTTGCCCCCTTGCTCTTCACACATACACACACACACACACACACACACACACACACAGTATACACTGATCATGTATATATTTTAAACTGCCAGGAAAAGATGAAAAGACCGACAGTCGGAGTAAGACACAGAGACTATTTGTCCTGATTTGTGAAAGCAGTCACAGTTCAGTAGGAGGTTAAGTACCAATTACGATTGTTTCCAGGGCTGATAGTCTTTGAGAGATGGAGACATATCATAAAGACACACACGACTGACACTAACGAGCAGAGTCACACGTGTCAACAGACATATACACAATTCCTAACTATATTTACTGGAGGCAAGACATATTTTATGTGTGGCAAAGATTCTGGTGTAAATAATTTCCACAATACCACAACTGTGACCAAAATCTGAGTGTCAGAGGGTCTCACACTTCAAAAGAAGGCATACATCAATGTGATACACATACAGTACAATACAGGACATGTAGTCTGTTATATTGCTGTTGTAGGTACATAACTGGGCAAGAAGCCACTGCCAATATGCGCAACAACAACATATGGTTATAATGGTCCTGTAACACTTCAGCACTCAATAAAGAGCTAACCATGTAACAATTTTGCCCCCCCCTTTGGGTGGTGCCCTGGGAAGCTGCCTATGTCGCCTTTGGCAAGATCCACCACTGACCCCTGGTTGAAGGCAGGGTCAAACAGCCAGGTCAGACAATACACACACTGATCCAGTCAGATCAACTGAAAACGCATGTTTTTTCTACACTCTAATTCTCTATCACCCATGAACTTTACAGATGCTTGCAATCAATCAAAGCTTATGTTTAGTGTTCAACTTTGTGGTATCATACAATTTCATCTGTTTGCATTGTATTGTACACTATTTTACAACCATTACTACGACAGCCAATCTCTCTACTTAATTAAGATTAAGACAACCCAAGAGCATTAATTGCTATTAGAAAATCTACATTTGGGACTATCTGTGTGTGGTGATATCATAAATTTTGCATCTGGTTTCTTTATTTCCAAACACTGCATGTGACTGGTAAGATGCATGCCTGATATTGACTGACTGCTGTAGAGGGTGGCAACATTTGGCTGGCTGGTTATTGGTGGCTATTAGGCAATGTGAATCACCATGTGAAAGTCATATAAGCCAGATGGCACACATGTAAAGAGCACTGCTCTTGCATAATGCAGCAAGGAAACCCACTGGTGTAAGTGGAATATGGCCATCAGGTGGAAAGCTGCCAGGGCTCCAATACAGTGACACCAACAAAAAGAAAAGAAGCTTACAACAACTGCAGAAGATTGCCATGGGACTTCATTAGAAAAATACAAGGAAAGAAACTGTAGCCAGCTTAAGTTGTTACATTTTCCATAACTCTTGAGGCACATTTTTTACATTTGGTCAACTTCCAGAACTAAAGTAGCAGCAGTGCAGCTCTGAGATGTTTCTAAATAGAGTGGTCTTTTTTAGCATTATGTGAAACTAAACTGGTGCATTCTGTGCTCGGAGGAGGCTGGGTAATAATAGTTTTGTTTATATAATTAGACCTCTATCAAAGCTCAGCAGTGGTTGTAAAGTTAAATTGCATGCCTGTGAGCAACATATAGGTGGAACAGGCCATGTTGGGTTTTTTTACTTAGGATTGAACAAGGGCTTTCACAGAAGAATGAGAATTCCCAAAAGCTGTGCAAAAATAACATATCAGAAACCACAGGAAAGGGTGTGATGCATAAACTATGAATGAAGTTTTGCAGTATAGGCTTAGCTCCAGTTGTTTCTCTGGCTGGTTGCTGTAGCACCTAAAATGTGCAGTATTTTAAAACTGGAAGCAAACTATATGCTTAAAAACAACTTCAAATCTAAATGTCAAGCAAGAGGTACTTCGTACAGCTGTAGTGGAGTCACACTGATGGTTCAAGCACAGTGCTTAACTTACAAAAGGTCAGCAAATTAATCAAAGCCAAGACTCTTGGGTGGGCACAAGCCTTTCTTTGCCTGCGCACAGACCTTTTCGTGCACTGGGCATGGCCACCAGATGCTGAGTGAAAGTTCTGCTTGTGCTCTCTATTACCACCTTTCAATATTTACCTTACTCCCACCTACTTGCCCACAGAGAAAGAGGGAGTTACGCAACATGTCACATCCTCTGACATTCCACTAGTCTGGAAAAGGACCCTTGACTGCTCTTAGAAACAAGGCACCCTTGTCAAGGTAACGGGAAGGAAATGGGTTTAAGGGGACGGACAATCAGCAGCATTTGGCATCTTAACCCCCGATCAACTTTCTGCCTCAGAAACAAATGCAAAAACAAGAAAGAAATGTGCACTGCTAGCGCTAATTTCACCTGCACATTCTCAAACTCAGTAAAGGCCTGAAGCAACATCATTTCTGCAAAGCCCTGCACACCTGATTGGACTGTGAAGCAGCCATGTTCACAAACACTAATTGGTGTGCAAGGTCTAAGCTTTGGCATCTGATTAGACTGCCTATTCCCCACGCATCTCATCATAGATATAGACCACAACAATCTGGACTTCGGCCATCTGTCTCTCTCCCCTTGGGGTAAGCATTCCTCTTCCCAAAGTTGTAACAGAGCAGAGAAGAGAGTTGTCAGCCCGAACATAACCAGGAGGTAGTGTCTTTTCTCTCCGGTCATCTGCTCAAATATCGTAAAAAAGGGGTGATAATCCCAGATCCTTCCTGGAGAGAGTTAATCCACATGCAATCGCCATGGCTCCCAGGAATTCAGGGTAAATATGCAGTGTTGCCCTCCTGGAGGCAACAGAGGCTGAGGTATCAAAGGGTTTTTGCTTCAACATAAACAACAGATGGAATATGGCCTACATATCAGTCCATGTATTCCATGTGAAAGATCATTTGCCAAATATCATTAACATTATAATTATATCATAATGATATTTCTGTTTTTTATATACACTTTAATAAGAAAGATCTAGATTCAAAATCTTTATCCTTGTCACATAATTTTGTTTATTGTATTCAAAATGAATGTGAAATGTGGAAGTGATTAGTCAACGGCTATGCAGGCAGAACTACTGTGTGTGTGAAATCAGTTTTATGGATCTATTAAGCAGTAAAATGGTTTACATAGAGCGTCATAGTTATACTATTGTGCATGGAAACATTGTGATGTGGAGATTATATATTGCTGTTGTTCATCCCTACAATATACAGTATAGTATAAAATTGCTGGGGATAAGGGGATTTCTTTGTGCCTGATGGAATTTAAGATAAACAGTGTGACTGGACAAATAAGTTCCTTTTGAAATCTTGTGGTTATCGCAGAAATAACACACTTCTTTGAAACTGTTTCTTTCACTTTTAACAGACGGTTCCTGTATTGTCAGGAAGACTTACTTCTGCTTCGCAAATTCATATTATTGTTTTTACAGCATAAGCTATGTATCATCCTTGACATAAAATCATACTTGCACTGACATCACTCACTACTAAGGCAGCAGACAATTTTAGAAACCATTTCAGTCTCAGCTGTATTGAAGAGATACTTGGCTGTGTTTGATTTTGATCTTAAAACATGGATTTTATAGTTTGAATTTTTTTTTTTTTTTTACGACCAAACAAATGTAATACTTACACAACCCATATCCCAGTTATAGTCAGAACTGGGAGACTGACAGGCAGTATCATCCAGAGAGACATCTTCCAGCACCTTTAGCAGCCCCTTTCTTCTTTTTCCTCTTCGGCCAGCCGAGCGATATCTGCTCAAGTAGTACTAACATTTAACTGAGTGTGACTGACAGCTGCATTGCCATCAAATGATTCATTTCCTTGGAGATGGAGGATAGTAGATGAGACACTGGCTCTGACAGTGTCCTTTTCGCTGGTGAATAAGAGGAGGGGTGAGTGAGTTAGGTCAGGATCATTCACCTGCTTACCAAAAAGCAATCATCATTAAGCCTTGCCAGTTACAGTAACCTGAGTAAGACTGTGTAGTCGAGGTTTATGTGATGCTCACAGAAATATAGTGTACAAAAACAAGGATATAGGGGTTACATTACAAAAAACCCCCACCTGTAACGCAATCCAATATGATATCTATCCAATACACACTGCTTTTGTAAAGTGTCAATGCTTTGTTTTTCTAAACTGTGCCTCAAAATTTTGGAGCGGTATAATGTTGCACTGAAATGATGAACTTATGTGGTAGTTTCCATTATCAAAAACATGTCATTAAACTCTTATTCTAGTGTGTTTAGGGACATGTTGGATGGGCACCTGCACAATGATTATGTTTGTGTAAATGGCATAAACAGTATGAATTACATTTGATACACTAAGGTAAAAAAAAAAAAAGATATATTGCATATGATAAACATTAAGGTAATTATGTGTATAGATGGTAAAAGTTCACTATTTAAGTCATAGAAAAGGGGTAAAACCATATGAGTGTACACTTCTCACTACTTCTTTTTGGACATGTAACACTTATTCGTTTTATTTATTGACAATTTGATGTAATTATATGTTTGCTGATCATTGTTTGAGTTATTCTTGTTTTGTTTTTGTATTATTTTTTACATGTTTGATATAAAAATGATCTAAAAGAACACTGAATCTAGCTTAAAACCGTTGTTTTAGCAGCTTTAACTTTGTATCACTATTGTATTTAGCACGGGTTGCCTTTCTCATAGGTTTTAAATCACACTTATCTTAGTTTTACTCATATTTTCATTTACAATTTACGTTTGTTTAACGTTAACTAACCTAAACTATCCCTTCTCATGGCACAACAGCTGCTCACCTTCACCTTTCTAGCTAGCATCAACCTCGAAAATCAGAAGCAAATCTGAGACCACTCACCCTCCGTCTCTTTGCTAGCTTGCAAGTTTCTGATGTTTTTTGGTAACTTGAGTACGCCGACCTGTCCTCCACACCTCCGGTGGTTCCAAACTTTCCCACAATGGCCTCGCTGGAGCCGCTGAAGTCTTATTTTTTAATAACAAAACCTATGTTTTATGTCCCGTACTGCTGAAGTCCCGTTAGCCGTTTTTCGCTTTGTATTAGAATTATCAAGGGGGGAGGCTCGCGAGCGGTCGGTCCCGTTGCATCGCCGCCACGAGATACTCCACCGTATCCAGCTGTTTGGCTCCACCCCCCAGAACCTGTAGTGGGCAGGGTACGTTGCATTTATGTTTCGCTGCGCACCGACCGGGCGGGTCGGCGGGGTCGAAAGCAGAAAAAGCGACGCTAAAAGTAGTTTTATTACAGTGTATGTCGTCTTTTACTGTGAGCAGCTCAAGAAAATATAACAGTGTGTTAGCTACATAACTTTTCACGATAATTTGAGTTTGTTCATGTTTCCGGTTTATAAACGTGACACCCCGACAAAGCGTAAACTCGGAAACCTGCTGTTTCCTAGCAACGCAATTCAGATGAAGGAAGTATAACACTCGTTTTGATGCTGGATTATCTTCATGGGGAAAAAAAGGCGCTTTGTTTTTTGTCTCAGCTTTCCCTGTTGGTCATGATAGATAATTTTCTTCTCTCACTGTAAATTTGGATGACCCAGCCGATAAACAAGTACATGCGGTGACATTTGACGCCGCGTTTGTAAAGACAGGATAACACAATCTGGGCATATGTACAGTATGTACCCTGAGTATGTGTTTGTGTGTGTGAGGTGTCCAACAAAACGTGTTTCTGCTGCCCCCTGGAGCTTTAATCTGTTAGTGTCTCTCTGGTGAATCCATTGATAAAGACTGGAGGACCATGGTGTAAGGCAGTGGCTCCTAACCTGTTTTCCAAAAGGACCTCTTTTCTGTCATTGAGTAAATTGCCGACCCCTGGCAAAGTGACAGATTTGATGGATACTTAGTATTATATTTAATGCATGACAATAATAGTGCAGAACAGCTAAATACATACACTGCAGGCAGTTGTGTAAACCAAGCAATCGGATGAGTTTTGAACAGATTTTTTTTTTTCTTTTTTTGTGAATATTACAACAGAGAAGAGTTTTCTGGATATTTTCAGATAATTTTTTATAAATTCTCTATCTTATGTATTTTTTATTCTTTAACAATCTTACATACCCCATAAACTTTTTTTTTTCTTTTTTTAAATAGTTTTTTCATCACTTGGACACAACTTGGTTTTTTACTTGTGCACTTTCCTAATGCAGGACAAGGCTGTTTTGCAGAGACTGAAGGCTCAATGAATGTTGCTTGTGATCAGGTCCTCACTGTGCCCTTATCCTGTGAGATTTTATATCTTGAACAATAATCCAAACCTTAAAAATAACCATTTCATTTAGTTTTATTTGCATAAATGAATGAAATGCTGATATATATATATATATATATATATATATATATATATATTAAGCTTTCTTACACCCCTTTAAATCATGACCCCCTGCGAAGCTTTGGCAACCCCTAATGGAAGTCTTGACCCCCAGTTTGAGAACCAGTGGTGTGAGGAAATGTATAGGCTTAATGTCTGGTAATTATTGATTAAAAATGCCCTAAATATTATTTGATATCCTCTTAATCTCTGGTTGATTTAAAACTCAAAATCTTGGAGCATTAGCACCCAGGTTTTCCTTTCCAGGTCTTCACCACTGTTTGGCCCAAGTAGTACAGGTGTGTTTCTGTGTTAATGAAGCCAAGATGTCTAATAGACTGACATGATTGTGGAAAAACAACAGTGAGTTCAGCTCCATAATTAAAGTACCAAATAAATCAGTCAAAACTCTGAGTTTTAGAGACTGTGGTTTAATTTTATTTATAACAAACCAATGATATAAATATAACATGCTATATATATATAACACAACAAAGAGAAAAGTATGGAACATCGTAAAAAATAACATGGTAATCAGTTATTGCATATTCTTCCTATTTACATCTGACACATTTTGTAGACTAGCCTGCCTTAAAACAGTGATCAAAGGAACAAAAACAGAATAATTTGATTATTTAGAAAAAGTTCATACATTTGGGAAAAAAAGATCTGTTAGCAAAAGGTTGAACAAATAGAATTAATCAACACCTTGTTTCAACTTTTCACCACAACATTGAAAATACTGTGTACATTTGATGCAAATTACTAGCACTATAGTACCTACAGTCTTATGGTAGTATCAAAGCCCCACACACTGAATGCAGGGTAGAGAGGCTGTGTGAATACAGTCTGGACTCTGTGCAGAAGCTGCATGCCATCAGAGACACTGTAATATGCAAGTGTCCCTGCTGCATAATCCAGGTAGACGCCAATACGAGATGACATTGGAGCTGCAATCTCTTTGCTCTTATTGTTGTGCACGAAGGTGTACTTGGAGTCATTGCAGTACAGACTCCACGACTTGTCGTTCCAGCCCAGGCTGCATTCATTACCATTTCCTTTACGGCGGATTCCCCTGTAGGTCACGGCGATGTCTATCTCTGTTCCCCTCCAGTCTACCTCCCAGTAACAACGACCAGCCACGCTATCCCTGCACAACACCTGCAATGGAATAGACAAAATTAAAAATTAAAAGGCAACATCTATTCATGGCTTATAAGATAACTGCATGACTGAAACCACTTTTATTGTATGAATAACTTTAAAGACAAATTTTAAATGCCTGATTTAGATTGCAATTTACAATCAATACCAACACAAGACATGTAAAAGGTTTATGTAAGAGAAAGAGGAACAACTCATTTAGAAATGAAAATAAAAGATTCCATAGACTAATTTTCTCCTTTAGTCTACATGCAGGATTATGTTTGCCCCCTTTCTTGACATGCGATCATTTTAACTCTGTACCATTCACAGCATACTAACATCCCTCCTCTTCTTTTCAGGTAAGCAATGACAGTGAAGTCTTACCTGCTGCCAGTGGTCAAATCGGTCTTGGTGATCAGGGTAATTCTTGGGATCATTCTTCATTGTTGCTGTTCTGTTCCCCTCAGAGAGGTGAAGGTTGCGATGGACACTGTTGACATCCAGAATCAGCTGGCAAGAGTCTAAACAATGCAAGACAATGTCATTATGAATCCTCTCTGTGTTGTTGTTGTTTAGTATATGTTTTTCAATTTCATGTCATCATATGTTTTGTTATTTGTGTTCTCTTCTTTTGTTTCATCTTGTTGCACACTAAGCACTTACAGGTAAATACTTGTGACACTAATTTGTTTGGGAATGACAAAGTTAGCCTACTGAAACCTTTGGCTGATAACTCCCACATATCCACTTGTTAAAATGCTTTCCACAGGTGGAGTATTAGCGGAAACACCTGTGTTTGTTTAAGTGATACTGGACTGTAAGTTGGCTTTCTTAGATTTCACCAAACCAGTTCTACAAGCAGCATACTTTCCATCACGCTCTGTTTAGTTGTGTGTAAGTTTCATCACATGGCATGGTCATACCATCCCTGTTAAGGATGTTGATGTTTCTGCTGTTTGTCATCATGACTGTCCTGTTTTGAACCTTAAAAGTAAAGAATGCTTCCGGGAATGTGAGTGGGGTTTTATTTGAGAGTAAAGTAGGCCAGCCAAGTTTTTGCAAAAGGTTTCACAGCTAATTAAATGCATGCTCCTCTGTAAAAAAAGGAACCTAATAACTCACATTTCAGGAAGTCTTCTCTTGTCCTCGGTTCTTCTCTTATCCTCAGTTCTTCCCTTATCCTCGGTTCTTCCCTTATCCTTGGTTCTTCTCTCAAACTTGATTCTCTCCTTGTCTTTGCCTCAACTTCTTGTGTGATGTACACATCCTTCACTGTAAGGGATGAGATAAAATGCAAATGGCGGCAGCATTAGTTTCATAAAAGCAACAGCATATTAGAAACACAACCCCCACTGAAAGGAGAGAGGCATCAATGCTACTTGGGATAAAGAAATGTGAATTTTGCACCTGCTCCAGAGATTTTGCTCATCTCTGTCTTGCTGACTTCCTCTACTTGTAATTTCAGTGCAGCGACGGCTCTCTTGGTGCTCTCAAAGGAGTAATTGGGAGCAACACTGATGTTGTTGAGGTCTTCATATCCCGAGGGGCCTGACAGAGATTGCCAGCTCTGGTAAAAAATTGTGGGAGACAGAGATGAGCTTAAATATTACATATCACCACTATTTTTTAAGAGGACTCCTGATTTTTGCACCATACAAGGTCCTGGTTGGGGTCCTCAGTTAAGATTTACCTCACCTGCAGAAAGTGTATGTGATCATCAGTGCGTGAGAGCTTCTCCAGGTCAGTGTGTTTCTTCCTCAGCAGAGTGATCTCTTCCTCCAGGCGGTCCAGCACCATCTCAGCCCGTGTCACAGTGGTCTTCTCGTGGGAGAGGATCATCTCCTTCACTTCATTGTACTTCCTCTCGATGGAAAGTAGAAGCTCAGTGAAGATCCGCTCATTCTCCTCCAGTGCAGTTTGAGCTGAGTGCTGATGAGATACATCAGAAATAGGCAGAGGATTTGTTAAAATATGGATGAAATGCAGCCTTTTTTTCAAAGAAGAAAATCTTGTTTTAAGTATTATGCCATACAGGTACTAAGCTGTGCAACATGGCAATGTTTACTCACTTTAACTGATTCAACAGCTTGTCTGAGATCCTGCCACTTCTTTACTCTGTGGTCAATCCGCATCTGGGATTTGTGCAGCGTTGCACCAAGTTGTTTCTGTAGAGGGGATGACATTAAAGTGCTCATGTCAGCCTTGCACAGTAAAGAACCTTTGAAATCAATTAAGCATCCTCACCAAAAGTATAGATTGGCAGATTGTTTTCACCACTTACTTGTTTCTCAGTCCTCTCAGTTCCAGCCGGGACGATGTCATGGTTTTTGTGTTCATCCATCATACACAGAACACACACCGATGTGTCATCAGAGCGACAGAAAGCCTCCAGCAGCTTGTCATGCTGTGCACAGAGCTTCTCTCTCATTTGACCCGTAGCTTTGACCAGTTTGTGCTTCATCAGGGCAGGGTAGTCATAGTGAGTCTGGACATGGGTCTCGCAGTAGGATGCCAGACACACCAAGCAGGACTTCTCAGCCTTCTGCTTCCTGTTTGTGCAGAAGTCACACAGGACTTCCCCTGACTTGGCCTCAGACCTGGCCAGGGACCTGGACTGGCTACGACTGGTAGAGCGACGAGATTTCTCCAAGCTGCTGTATCTGTCTAAATCCAGAGTGCTGGGGTGGGACATTTTTTTTAAAAACAAAGATGTCCAGCAGATATGAGAACAAAAGTAAAATCCACAGGTGACTTAGCTCAGCAGCAATGTGGTAACCTCTTACAGTGTTGAGATCAACAGCTCGGAAGGGACTCGACAAAAAGTGAGCAGGATGACGTGTCCACAGATAAAATGAGCTCTCGAAGTTAACAGCTTCAGTGAAACTGAGTGACTGACACTGTGTGTGACAGAATGTTAGTTATGTGGTCTACTCTCATTGTAAAACCAGTATGCCTGGTTGGGCGTTTAATAGACAGGCACTGGGTGTTACTACAAGGGTGCTGCCTGAAACAAACAAACAAAAGAAAGGAAAGGTTTCTAAGAAACTACCACAATAAAAAAGAGGCCCTACTCATGTATAGGACTTGATCATTAAACTTAATGAAAATGTGAAAACATTTATATTTCTTATTTGAGGATGAGGATACAAAGATAACACAATAAAAAAAACCTTCACAGAGTACGGCATTATTTTTAGAGAAACCATTAGCTCACTTCGATTTCACAGTGTTGTGGAATGAGCTTCCCCTTGTCTTATTTGTTTCAAGATTACATTTGTGCTCTGTCTATCTCTAGATTTCTGCCCCTGTGATATGTACAGTATGCACTGCCCATACTATTAGAGCATTTGTCAATACTGACAATGCAAAAACAGCATCATCTTGTGGAACTAATTCATTACTACATGAGATATACAACCCTCTGTGTAGCCTCTATGCCTCAAACAAAAACAGTATACAATTTACAAAAAAAAAGTGTAGCATCTAGAACCTCATCCAGCATCGTCTGACTCTCCCACTCGTTATTTTGCAAATATTTCCATATTTTAGATCGTATAGATCCAGTCTCTAATTTAGGTTCTGCATTGTTTTGATTGATTAGCTTGACACTTTCATCTTCAAAGATGTATTGAATTTTTTCCATGCCCTTCTGCTTTAAAAAATGTGTGCCTATGGCATCTCTTTCTCGGGTCTACTTGTGCTCTGCTTTGTAAACGCAGTCCCCATATCTCAGCATTTTCACACAGATTTAGCCTGGCTGCAACAGTTTACATCTGGCATTTTTTCAGGCTGTTCAGGTCCTAGAATGTGGCAATTTTCACTTGCACTGTAACAGACTGCCTAACTAAAAATAAAGTTAAAATTGAAATTAAAAGTTAAAACATTGTGCAGGAGAGAATAGAAGCCAAAATGCCTTGTAAAGATACCTCCCCTATTAACCTTAAGGTCAATACTTGATACTACTTGAAGCTGATATCACTTTGTAAAAGCCCAAAGTAAAATCAAGTAGGTATTAACAGCAACATATACTTAGAGTAGACCTATCAGAATCATCAGAAGCCTTGTTTAACATTAATATTATGTAGCCCACAAGTTCTATTATTAATTTTGCTGGTGCAATAATAGCTGCAAAATTAAGTAATGTACACAAATAATGCATCAATAAACATAGTCCAATGATATAATATATATCCTTCTGAAATGGGCAATTCTGCACGAATTTGTTACAAGTAAAGTCATGTATTCAAAATTTTTATTGAAGTAAAAGTATTAAATTATTGAAATGGAAGTATTTTAAAGTATTTCTACCCTGCTGTATTGTTACATCTTTCACCACTTAACCAAATACTGCAGTAATACCATTTCTGTGACCTGCAGTTTGTCTCCGAGGCTGCAGGGGGCGCTAGTGGTCTCCTTGCTGTATTGAAATGACAATGATTGCTTTCGCTAAAGTGCGTCGGTCGTCCAACGTTGGCGCCAGATGAGCAGTGGCGCCAGCTACACACACACAGGCAGAGAGAGAGGAAGACACACACAGCAGTTTGACCAGCCTCACAACAGCCTGCAAAGCTGTCCTCAACCCAGAGTTTGAAGCATATAAACGATTCTCTTTTTTTCTCTCTCTTCAGCCGTCAGAAAGTAAAAGGACAGAAGGTGGGTGTGCATGCAATATTTGTACATTTAAAAACCTGTGTGATCATTACTCCTGGCGATTATTCATCGTTTAAATTCAATTTACTCTATCACGAATAGTAGCAGCGTTAAGGCAGAGGAGGATCGCTGTGTAACTGAATATAATCTTTGTTATTGTATATCATGGTAGTCCACGTATGGGTTGTTTATTTTGTGTCTCCAGTTATGATAGTACCGAACTTTGTCATGGAAAAATACAGGCCTGGTCTCGCTTTGGATGATACATTTTGTTCTGTTGAAAAAGCAGACCAGCATAGGGACACACTGGTATAAGGAACTATTTCAGCGTTGAATCTCATCCAGGTTATTTTTGAGACATGTTGGTTATAGTATCGGCCCCGCCGCCTTTCTTGTATCATCGTCCAGTTTATCTTCGCATGCGAATCCAGATTTAACATGGTCGGATGGGCGGTTAAGCAACGCTTCCGCTCCAATGTTTAACAATCTACAGGCTAGTACTAAACTGGAGAGCAGCCTTTAGCCGTGCTAGCAAGATGGATTAGCTGGCTTGTTAGCTTTGCATCACGGCTATGTAGCCAGCACGCTAATATTGTCTCGGCTGGATAGCTGCTAACATCAGCAAGGCCGCCATTGAAGTCGTGTGTGCGGTTTGTCGGGTGCTGCCGCAGTAGAGGAGGGCTTTAGGTTCATAGCCAAGATTCACAGTACATTTTAGCTGCTGTTTAATTACCCGCCTGGTGGTTTTCTGCTCGGTGACTGTTTTTTAAAACTGCGTTTGCTGTTGGATTTTTGTCTCGTAGTGGTTCTTATGTAAGTAAAAGGCGTCCTTTCCCGGGCTTTTCGCACAGCATTCATCGCCCTCACGGTTAGCCATCTTTGTTTCAGCTAGCCAACTCCTGGTTGGAATTACGGTGTGGCTCCTAGCTTGCTAACCTTCATACCATTAGCCTACAACATCGTATTCGTGGCTGTTGCATCTTTTGCGATACGTTAAATAATATCTTTAATGTCTAAGGTATGTTCCACTAAGCTCTCTGCCTTTTTGACTTGGTCTGAGATCGCGTAGGCCTTCGGGGGCTGCTCTAATTCAATATGTTATGAAGGGCGGAAGCTAACTCTGCTAACTAGCTAGCGGCAGCCATCTTAGGCGAGCATGTAATCTTGGCTAGCTGGAAGTGCTGGTGTGGCACAACAAGATGGCCTGTTAATACTCGCACAAGGAGAATTTCCGCGTCGGCAGCCGTGTCATAAAAAGTACCAAATTACTTATTTCCATTGCGTATTTTCATGTAAGTATTTCGCTTCCTTTGAAGCCCTTGCTACAATTACTCGGGTGTTGCTTTTGCTATGAAGCTAGTTAGCTGGCTAAATTGCGAACACATTAGCAGCTAACAATGCTGTTTTGTCGTTAACCAGTCCCCCTTCGACCATAGCCAGCTAACTAGCGGCTATGAAGGCTATTTGTAGCTGTTATTGAAGGCTAGCAACCAACAGTTCAGTGTTTAATAACAAAGCGTTGCTATTTAAATGCCTCTTCGCCTTTCAAGTTGTATTTATTAATAATGCAGAGCGAGCTGCGCAGATAAACGCAGTTTGTAGGCTGGTCAGATTTGGGCTTGCGGATTAAGTTTGAATTGGAGGTTTGATCATGATGTGGTCCACTTTGATTTTATCATTTGTGTTAGCTAGTGAAGTGAGGCTCGTATTTAGGCTAACTTGGCTAGCAAATTGATCACTTAGCTTGCTAATAATGTTAGTGCTGTAGGCTTGCAGTTGATGATATATAATGCACACAGTTAAGGAAAAATGCATATAATGAATTATGAGCCTATGTATCACTCATTTTAACGCAATCATTTTTCATTTCAAGTTTCCAAAGCTTAATACAGAACACTCTGAGCTGTTTTAGATTAATTTAACAGGCTAATGCATATATAGTAGTACAGAGTAGTAGTAGTTATCTAATAATATTAAAGGCTTCACGTTGTCACACCTGTTATCACTTGTTGTACACAATAACACACAACCAACCCTTGTCTTTGCAGTTGCCACCAACCAAGTGCTATTTTGTGTTGGCCATGGTGATGCATGTCTGTCCTAGACAAATGGGGCTCCTACTCAAGTTGAATGGGTGGTGAACCCCTGTTGCTAATAGGCTTTACTGTTGACTGTTTCAACTCATATCTGATCAGATGATGATTATTGTTTTCCATAAAAAGATTAAAGTCTGTTATGAGGATTTCCTACTAGAAAGGCTGGGTAATTTAATATTAGGTTTATTATCTTTTCCATAATTGTGTCAAGAGCCCTTACTGAGATGTTTTCAGTGACAATTATGTCATAATAAATGCTTTTAATTTTAATTGAGATCACAAATCTGCCTAAACACCACGGTCATGTTTTATACACACAGAATATTGTTTTTGTAGCACAGAAAAACAATTTAACAGTAATGATATTTATTCATACTTAACTCTTGTGATTTCAATATATTTGTAATAATTGGATATTGGGATATTTATGTGATGATTGTGGCAATATTAATTGCTAATATGTTACTTACCCCTGTGCATAGATGCAACATATTTGGGCTCTTATGTACATGTAGTCATGCTTACAAACTGGCAATATTTTTTTAACTGATGGTAATAAATGTATAAGAAAAACCTACTATTCTAGGAAAGTGCTTCTCTCTCACACTTGCTTAATTATAATAAAAACCTTGCAAATAATAGGAGAGTGATAACTGTTCTAGCTAATGAAGACAATTTAATTATTTGTTTTTTCTCTATTTTCCTCTTTTGCAGGTCTGCTCACTGATTAGAGCACCAGTGCGGCACTGACCAAAACAAAGATCTATATCCCCCCGATTCCCTTTTGTGTCCCCGCCCGGCAGGAAAACGGAGGTCGTGGGGCTGGAGTGTGTTCTCATGGCCGAGTCAGAGACTGAATGTGACACACCCGGCCTTGACACACTTGGGTCGGAGTGTGTCATAGCCCACAGCCATGTCGACCTTCACTATGGAGCAGAAACTGAGATCATGACAGAAGAAAAGCGTGGATTAGAGTTGGAGATCCACGGCTCAGACTTAAAGATCCAGGGACTGGGGACAGAGCTCGGCACTGTAGCCTGTGTGGATGCAATTGTAGCTGAGACTGACCACGATTACATTAAAGTGGAACATGGTGAGATGCACTGTTTCACAGGAGCAGAAATCAAGACATCAGG